TGTTCCGAGCCTCAGAAAGGACCACTAATATATTTTGATCTGATGTGTGTGATTTGAGTAACGTTCTTCCTTTCTGAATTGCAGCTTGCGTGTGTAACCGTGCTGGTTCCACATATTGTAACCCTGATAATGGAGACTGCGTCTGTAAGCCGGGGGTGGCTGGACCACACTGTGACCAGTGCATGCTGGGATACTGGGGTTTCGATGAATATGGTTGCAAGCCCTGCCAGTGTGCTGGTGATTGTGACCCTTACACAGGAGACTGTATGATTAGGTGATTATGAACCTTTTTGCTGGTTGTTTAATATTTTTATAGGGCATGTTTTTAATGTCATTTTCATCTTATGCATGAGACTACAAGGAATTTGACAAAATCAGTGTTTTTATTTAAAGATACATTATTTGTAACTAAAATAAAGTTGAAATAAAATGTACAAAAATTAATATTAGATGAAAAATTTAAATTAGAAATGTTGCCTTAGCAACTAACGGAAGTTAAAGTTGATGTACATAAAATGACTAAAACTGAAATAAAAATAAATTATAGCTACATAGACATATAACTAATAAATTAATAAAAATGACCAGAATTACTGAAAAGGAAATTAAAATGAAAACTGAAAGTATAAAAATAAAAACAAATAAAAAATATTAATAAATACCACACTGGTATCAAATATTAAATTAAGTGATAAGATAACATTTCACCAGCTGATCTCTGATTTTTAGTGAATTTATGATGGCAGTTCACCTCAACTTCAACCATAGGTGTAGTTCATCACATTCAAATGATCCAGTAAGACAGAGCAAGACAAGTTTCCAAATGCTGTTTGTCTTCATTTTAAATATTAGTTTATGTTTTAGCATTCAACACATGCCAAACGTCTTTGACACTTCTTGCTCAGAAAGTGTGCTTGTGCTTGCTTTATTTAAAATAAAGCCGATTTTATATGGAAATAAAATGTTTGATCACTTTCATTTCTTTTACAGCTAAAATTATAATGTACATTATTTATAGATACATAATCATGCGTGCTCTATGTATGTTTGTTGTCTAGGTCTCTAGAATCCGATCACAACAGCACGGCAGAAAATCATCTGTTTCGAACAGAAGAGCTTTTCTCCGCCCTTAGTCATCCAGGTATTAAATGAAAATCTTGGAGCTGATAACAGCGCTGTCTTGTTCCAATAAAAATTTTATTGTCTCGTCTGGGATAAAGGCATGTGCTGTTGAAATGTCATTTCTGTTTTTAGGTTGTCATAGCAACAGAAAGAAACTGACAGCCAATATTTTAATTGGTGGGTATTTCTTTTCTTGACAGACAAATGTGTATGCAAACAGCAAGCACTTGGAAACAGCAAAATATTCTGCAGTGTAAAATATGTTTATGGTAAGTAGCATGTAAAACTCACTTCACCTCGATGTTCTGTTGAGTTGATGTAATTAATGTGCGTTTTCTTGTGGGATTACAGCAGTGAAGGTGAGAGTGTTGGCTGCTCATGATAAGGGCTCTCACGCAGAGGTGGATGTTAAGGTTCTTAAGGTGTTGTGGGATAACTCGCGCCTCAGGCTCTCTCATGGAAATCGGATTCTTTATCCCGAGTCTTGGACCACACGAGGCTGCACATGCCCTGTACTTTTCCCAGGTTAGCAGACATGCACACGTTCATGATTTGTTATGATATGAAATATGCAAGCCCGTATGGAATCTACACATTGTTTTCCCACATTATCGGTGTTAATTGCGGGAAACAATCTGTTTCCCTGCTGAATTCTGTGCAGTGGATTTAAATACGATCAGATGTGTTAAATGGACCTCGGAGAACCTTGTTTAGATGAAGGTATTATCAAATTAAATGCAATGCAAATGAAGGGTGAATTCTGTGGATATCTCCTGTGTTTTCTGCTGAATTCTGAATTCTTCATGGAAGCATAGTTACTTGTTATAATGATATATCGGAAACATTCTGATAACTTTCTTTTATTTTTATTTTTTTTCTGTTTTGCCAGTGTAGACAGACTGGAAGCAAAGTTTACATTAATTTCACTCTTATGCTCATTTATTAAAATAGAAAATGTACTTTGCAAAGATCTAGGAGAGAATCATATACTGTATATTGATTTTATATTGAGAATATATGTATGTATGTGTATATGTATAAGTGTGTGTATATATATATATATATATATATATATGTGTGTGTATACAGGTGCATCTCAATAAATTAGAATGTCATGGAAAAGTTCATTTATTTCAGTAATTCAACTCAAATTGTGAAACTTGTGTATTAAATAAATTCAATGCACACAGACTGAAGTAGTTTAAGTCTTTGGTTCTTTTAATTGTGATGATTTTGGCTCACATTTAACAAAAACCCACCAATTCACCGTCTCAACAAATTAGAATACTTCATAAGACCAATAAAAAAAACATTTTTAGTGAATTGTTGGCCTTCTGGAAAGTATGTTCATTTACTGTACATGTACTCAATACTTGGTAGGGGCTCCTTTTGCTTTAATTACTGCCTCAATTCAGCGTGGCATGGAGGTGATCAGTTTGTGGCACTGCTGAGGTGGTATGGAAGCCCAGGTTTCTTTGACAGTGGCCTTCAGCTCATCTGCATTTTTTGGTCTCTTGTTTCTCATTTTCCTCTTGACAATACCCCATAGATTCTCTATGGGGTTCAGGTCTGGTGAGTTTGCTGGCCAGTCAAGCACACCAACACCATGGTCATTTAACACTTTTGGCAGTGTGGGCAGGTGCCAAATCCTGCTGGTGAGTTGAATTACTGAAATAAATGAACTTTTCCACGACATTCTAATTTATTGAGATGCACCTGTATATGTATACGTGTATGTATATGTGTGTATGTATGTATGTGTGTGTGTATTATTGTTTTTTATATATATATATATATATATATATATATATATATATATATATATATATACACACACTGTATCTGAGAATCAGAATTCTCCATTTTCATAATGGTGCTACTAAATGCATTTATTTTACTTTGTCTCTGTGATTTTTAGTTAGGTTGTCCTAATCAGTCTTGTTGTTGTTAACTAAAGCTAAAAACTATTTTAACTTCTCTGATAAATAAAATAAAGCTGAAATAAATTATAAAATATTACATGGAAAAACTTACAAAGGTTAAACCTTGACAACTAAAACGGGAAGAAATTAATAAATTAAGTAAGGTAATTGATTATCGATAATTAATTATCGAGAGAGAGAAAGAGAGATGACAGTTGTGTGTATGTGTGTGTGTTAACTGCATCTGCGTGTCTCTCTACAAACAATGAAGATGTGTTTAGTTACTACAAAAACAGCGATTTTACACCGTATTGCTGAGGAATATAATGTAGCGATCTAGTATCTAGGCTATTTTATTAATAGAAGTCGCGGGGAAGCGTTGACATGTTTGTCAAAGACCCAGTGGAATTGACCCTCCCCCCTTTCTCTCTCTCTCTCTCTCTGTCTGTGTGTGTGTGTGTGTGTGTGTGTGTGGGTTTGTTTGCATCAATTCAAGCAGTGCATTAAAATAGAATGGGGATTAAACTGACTTGGAATTACCTGTGCATTAAACGGTTTTACTGCATACCTGCCAGCCAATCAGAATAGAGTATTCAGACAGACCATGGTATAAAACAAAATACAAAATATTAAAAACTTAATAAAAATGACAAACATAAAATTCATCTAAAACTAGACTAAAATGTAAAAAAAAAACAAAATTGTTTACAAAAATATAAACTAATTCTTAATAAATACTTCAAGAGTCCATAAATAATACTAAACACTGTGGCCTATCTTTGTTGATAATTGTTTAGTGAAATCAGGCTAATTTGATCATTTTCTTTACTGATGAGACTGTTTTTCTCTTGCTGTAGGGTTGGAATATCTTGTAGTTGGACATGAGGATGTGAAAAGAGGGCGTCCTATGGTTAACATGAAGAGTATAGTGAAGCCATGGAGACCCAGCTTGAGCCGAAAAGTTCATCAGCTTCTGAAAACCAAATGTAGCTGAGAGACACAGAGAGACATTGAATATGTATCTTCCGTGGCACACGTTAACTTCGCCTTTATTTGATTATGATCATTCTTCATGCTCTGAATCATACTAATGCTTTAAAACAGCGGTTCTCAACCTTTTTGACTCCAAGACCCTCCTATCAATTTGATATGCACCTCTGGTACTTCTGTTAATAATAAATGAACTTGAATGAACTTAATGACAGTTCAGTTTTGTAAATGGGGTTGTGTCTTTGTGTTTTATTTTGGATTATGTGAATATAATTACATTGATATAATTTTAAGATTTGGTTGAGAGCCACTGCTTTAAAAGCAGCTGTGTGGATGTATTTGCTAGCTGTCAGATGAATACTAGGACTGTACAGAATGTATAATATATATATGTATATATAAAATAATATATGTAGTTTTTTATATCATAACTAAACATGTAAATAGCATGCATTTTGTACACATGAAAATACAATGCTCAAATGCAATATAACTTTCCTATGGTTATGTCACAGTTTTAAGTTTGTGGCCTTAATATGTACATTTTTTGCTACCAACCAAGACCACAAGGTGTCAGCCTATGATCATATTAATGATTATGTACAAATATATTCACAAGAACACGTATTCAGATGTGAAACGTGCTGATTTATTGCTGAAACAAATAAGACTCAGGCTAGCTTAAAAAACAGCACACAATGTCAAAAATCTAGACTTTTTCACATTGTTGCTTAAAAACCACAATGAAAACTTCTCACTATTTATTAATTTACCACATTATTTTCATTACATCTTAAAACATTACATATTAAAACAAGATAGCCTATAATCTCTCTCTTAATATAAAATACAAAACTATAAAACTTTTACATGAATAATTCGAAACCAGGGATTGCTCAAGATCAGGCAAGCCCGCGTGATGGGCGGAGCTAACGCTGGTCCATGAGGCCCCGCCCCCGCCTGCATCCGCACCGCTTGTCAGACGCGCAGATTGGCGTGCCGCGATGTCGCTTTCCGCAATGAGGACGTTGATGGAATTACAATCAAACTAAAACATGTCTGAAGTAAGAAAATTCACTAAAAGGTTGAGCAAACCTGGAACGGCTGCGGAGCTCAGACAAAGTGTGTCGGAGGCGGTGAGGACGTCCATTGCTGTGGTTAGTAACTCAAGAGCGTCCCGTCTCTCGCTTTGGGCAGTGCGTCTGTACGTTAGGCTGTGTCTCAACATGTAGTGAGCTACCTACCTAGGCGGCGTTTTTTGATATCCCAGGAACGTGCATTCTGTCTAAGTAGTCAGCTCACTAGATTTTGAGACAGTCTTAGTTTATTATCAGACCTCGTATATGTATATAAGCTGTTAGGTCTTGCTTGTAGTCATTTTTGTTTCTTGCAAACGTTGTAATTATTATTGAAACACGTGCCAGATTGCTGAGGGATAACATCTCGTGCCTTCCGGGCAGTCACACCAGCACAGCTTCAACATCTGGCTTACACATCACATAGACAGCAGTTGAAACCTTCTGCATATAAACACTGACATATGCATTGATTTAAATACAAAAAAAGAAAGATTTTGTTCTGTGGCTCCTACTGGAACCACATGGAGCATCCTTTTGCCTTTGTGTAAGGAGTCATGTGCATGTGCTCATGCACCAGTCTAAGAGCAGAGCCTATCCTTTCTTTCTGCCTTTATTAAACCATTGAGAAATTATCCGAGGAGGAGAACAGAAATGTGATGTTAATGTTTTAGGGAGGATATCATTTCTCAGCACTACTGATGGCTCTAATGAATGCTTAGTGCTGAGAAATGATATTTTTAACCAGACATATGTCATGAGCCTGAGATTTTCTATAAGTGTAATGAATATAGGTCTATAATGGCCTATGATTGTCAGTTTGATTGTGGTTTCCAGGGAGACAGACAATAAATGGCACACTATGGAGACTGCAGATCCGTTGTGTTTCTCTTGAGAATACCCTTAGGCTGCTCAGCTATGCTTCCTGTGCCTCTGTATGTGCTGAATAAAGTATTTGTCTCATCTTTCCTCTTTTTTTCTTTTGCACTTTGTGCAATTGCAGAAATTTGGCCAAAATGAAGGTATGAGTGACCTTTTTTGTTATTATTGGTGCTCATTGTCTTACTTAAAGACCCAGTGGAATTTATTAACGAGAGCTGCGCGCTTACTTTTTAAAAAGTTTTGGTGGCATGTATTGAAGGCTGCATCCCTTATTTTTGTAAATAGCAGCCTAGTTGGTTTCAAGTGGTACTGGGGGAGGGGCATTCTCATTCAAGAGAGCATTTGATTGGACCAAAATGTGTGTAGTGCAGGATGAGTCATCAACATTTTGTGCTCTGTTTCGCCAAAAGAATATGACTGTTTATTTTAAATGTGTATATTATCTAAAAGTGTACACTTGCATATTGCACTAGTGACATTTTTTCAAGGCATTTTGTAAGTTTGTATTCTCCTGGTTGCCTCGATAGCAAGCCAATAGGGTTTGTCTTTTGCACTTTTGGATAAGTGCAGAAAATAAGCCAAAGTTTATGATTCTAACACATTTTGTTCATCATGATAAACTTCTCAAATGAACACGATTGCTATGAATATTAATGTCTAAATACAGAAGTAACAGGCTAGGCCTACTTCTAACAGGAGGTTTTGGTGGCATATTTCGAAGGCCTCATCCCTTATTTTTTCAAATAGCCAATAAGTTTGTAGTCATGTGTCAGCTATGAATATAAATTGTTACTTGGTTTCTGGTGGTAAAAGTGGGAGGGACATTCTCATTCAAGAGAGCATTTGATTGGACAGAAATCTGCGTAGTGCAGGATGAGTCATCAAGGTTTTTTGCTGTTTTTTTCCCCAAAAGAATATGTACATTTTAAATGTGCATATTATCTAAAAGTGAATTTTATTAATGTTTTTGAGTACGTAGCATATAGAGTGATGCAAGTATGATGTCTTTTGTTAACGCAAAAGTTTGCATTTCCCTGGTTCCCGTGACAAAAATGATTGTCTATTGATATCCTATTGACTGTTGGATAATTGCAGAAAATGAGCTCTGTGACAAACAAAAGTTTATGACTGGTGCACGTTCTGTTCATCATGATAATCTTCACAGATGAACACATCTATTATTCATTTTGAAGCCTATAACAATCGCCATAGAAGTAAAAAGCTAAAGGTAGGCTATAAACTGACTACACCATGTTTGCATGACTTCTTCACCATCACCAGTAAGCTTCAGACAAATCTTTTATATTTAAAAAAAAAATCTATTTTATATATTTATTTAAAATGTTAGAACGTGTGAATTAGAATAGTTTTCAAGAGCACAATTATAAACACGAGGCTGCAAAATTGGACCAGTAAGTACATGAATTTTCCCATTCTGTGTGATGATGTTTAAAGGGATAGTTCACTCAAAAATTTCATTAATCGTCTTCCGCCATTTTGGAGAGTGCCCCAGAATGTAATCAACGTAATGAGCGTTGTTAACGTTCAGCATGCGCGCGCATCTCAGATTTCATCAAAAATATCTTAATTTGTGTTCCAAAGATGAACGAAGGTCTTACGGGTTTGAAACGACATGAGGGCGAGTAATTAATGACAGAATTTTCTAGGGCTGTCGCGATTTGTTGATTTTATTAGACTATTCAATTTTTTAAAATCCTCGACTTAATTTTGCTTGTGTCAACTAAACCGGCAAAATAATTAAATTTTAATAATCAAAAGCATCTCCGATTAATTTTTTATTTTCTTTTTTCAGAAATACTGCCCATTTACATTTTTCTCCTAAATAAATTCTGGTAAATAACATTTCTGGTAAATACTCCTTTAAAAAGTGTTTTTTGATTATAATTTTATTATTGGTAGACTAGAACACGTGGATATGTTGTCATTCTTACACTATAATACTGAACTTTGATTTCAGTGATTTGGACTGAGATGGACACTTGCTTCTTGCACTCTATGTTGCACTTTACTTTTGCTTTAAAAAAAGGATTTCATAGAAATTTGGATTTCATTTGGTTTAATAAAATATAGTTTAATGAAATATTCTTAAGTAAAATTGTTGATTGTTTTTGTTGGAAATTAATTGTTTAGATTAATCGATAAATTAGTCGATAGATTAATCGAAATAAAAATAGTCGTTAGTGGCAGCCCTAGAATTTTCATTTTTGGGTGAACTAACCCTTTAATGTCCCTGACAACCTCTCTAATCATTTAGTCACTGTTTAGCAACCACCTTTTTCAAGACACGTAAAAAATCAGTGGGGTATTATCAATGTATTTTTATTTTGTAGAATAAAACGTGAAAATATGTTGTTGAGCTTGTGTTAACCACAGACCTTACTTTAGGCATTTAACCAAAAGCCCATTCAAATAACCCATTGACTCATTTCTGGTCTTTAGAGCTCATTACGGTGGCACCCTATAGATGGCCATTAAACTCTTTAAAGCGAAAACTGACCCCATTTACTTTATGCATCTTTATTGGAAGGGACCCTTCGGTGAATTTTATTTAAAATGAAAAAAATGTCTTTGTCTTTATAATCTAAACATATTGTCTTAACTTGTTCTTCCTTTTCCGTTTTGACACTGTGCTAATGTTGCTAATGCTAACTAAAAATAACTGCTTGGGCACCATTTTAGCAAATAGCAATTCATATTGACTTTAAATATGGGACAGTCATGGTCGAATTTTACAATGTGTATTACTGAGTCACAATAATTTACGCTGTGTGTTTTTACACAGGACTCACTGGATATAAATATTTCAAGATGCTTTCAAATGGTGGGCCTCAAATGCTCACAGATCTACAGAGCATGTGGTCCTCCACGAGATTTACAAGACAAGATAAGCTGTTCAAAAGCCTTGTAATGACACAAAAAAGAGATCAGATGTGTGTTTGCATAACTTCAGACGGAGACCGTGGTCGTTCAGTTCAGATGTTGGCGTATGTGTTTACACGCAGTGGCCTAATGCACATCAGCTGAGGAGCTTTTTCTGTATGTTTCGCCAAAGACTCACATCTGGGAAGTACATTAACCACCCTGGAGACGTGCTCCAGTCGCAGTTTCTGTACAGCTTTAAGTCGCCCACTTTGTCGTCCTTCACATTTTCATGTTGCGTTCTTGCATACGGAAATAACATGACTGAAACGTGTGTGTGGCGCCAACGCCCATTGGCTTGTGAACGGGCAGTAAACTGGCTCATGTTTCCCTTTACCTCAGTCTGTGGTTTGTTGGCCTGTGATTCTTCTTCTTTTACAGTTCCTCTCTGTCCTCAACAGAATTGCTCTTTTTTAAATGATCTGAGGCCTTGTGGTGGTTTTCACAAGGGTTGGGTTATTTTTGACTATAGGAAACTGGTCCTACCACGGTATCGTAGCTTAATCTTGGCCCTGAGATTTTAACCCCTGTCTTGCAGCGATTAAGGACAGGACTTGGATTGGGGAAGTTGGAGTAATTTGGTTTGAAAGGGCAGTTGACAGAGAGTACAGCCACAAGCCAGCAGAACTGAGCTGAAACACAGGCTCTGTTGCAGTGGGAGCTGGACTGGCTGTGGTTTTCTTGCCTCTATGTTGTATGTCACATGACAGGAAGTTGCTGCTGAAACACTTGCATTGGTTGTCAGCTCATACGTGTGTGCTTGAGAAACACAGGAAGCATTTATGTATAGAGATGGTATTGATGTATGACTGTTTTTGTCTGGGTATATTTAGGCCGTTATTTCCCCCTCTTAAAGGGGTCATATGATGCGATTTGAAATTTTCCTTTCTCTTTGGAGTGTTACAAGCTCTTAGTGCATAAAGAAGATCTGTAAAGTTGCAAAGACTAAAGTCTCAAATCCAAAGAGATATTCTTTAAGAGTCAACCACGCCTACCTAAAACGGCTCCTTCTAACACGCCCCCACATGTCTACGTCACGATTTGGGACGATATCGCTTCGTCATGCCTGGAGCTGATCCGTGCTGGTCGCTGAAGAAATACATCAACTTTGCGCTGTGGATCGCCGGAACGACTTTCACCGTGGACGAAGCGGAGTCCAGCCCCGGGTCGTCACATGTGGTTGCCGCAAGCCCGCCCGCCACCGCTCACTCTAACCCCCGGCCTCTGCTCACTCTAGGCCGCCGTGTGTGACGCTGTGTTTCGTTGTGAAAGCGAAACTACTTTGTTTGGCCTTCCAAAAGAGGACACGGCTAGAAATCAGTGATAAAGTTGTATTTACAACACTGTTCCAGAACACTTTAACCCAAATATTCAGATGTGTGCAGCACATTTTATGGAGGACTGTTTACTGATCCTGGTAGAGTAGACTACAATGCCGGCTGTTCTGACTTACAGACTGTTAGTACGTTTTTTATATTTAAAGAATTTGCCACTGATGATTTAAACGCAAGTTTTGAGCAGTGTAGAGTAGGGCTTGTTGTTTGTCATTTCTCCGATCACAAATGCAGACATGGTTTTATGTTTATGCTGCGCTAAGCATTATAATCAGTAATTATGTCCCCACTGGATGCAACGAATGCCTCGTTTATAATGGGTTTTAATGTTTTTGTCTCATCGCTCCGGCCGGGACAAGGCATCACAAAGTTTATGATTCTAAACATTTCCATCCCACGCTTGAGGTATTCGGCCAATCACAACGCACTGGATAGCTGGCCAATCAGAGCACACCTCGCTTTTCAGAACGATGAGCTTTGTAAAAATCTACGTGTTTCAGAAAGTTGGGGCATAGAGGAGAAACAATAATGTACAGTATATGGAAAATAATGTGTTTTTTTAACCTTAAACCGCATAAACATATTTCATTACACCAAATACACAAAATAATGTTCTTTTTAGCAGCATCATATGACCCCTTTAAGCAAAATATACTGTATAATAAAAGCAAAATATAAAGTGCAAATTGAATTGGGATCAGTAACATTTTTTTGAAAGAAATTACTTCTATTCAGCAAGAATGTATTGACTTAAAGTGACAGTCACATTGTTACAAAAGATTTCCATTTCAAATAAAACTGTTTTCAACATATAATAATTAGGGATGCTCCGATCCGCCTTTTTTGCCTCCGATACCGATTCCGATACCTAAGGTTCAGTATTGGCCGATACCGATTCCGATCCGATACCAGTGAAGTTCTTTTTCCCTCATTTAAATAAATGTAGAATTTATATATCTCTGTGTGGAACTGATACTCATTCTTTCACAATCTACTAGATACAGACTACTTCATTATAAAGAAAAATAAAACAAACAAATATGAAAAAATATAGGCCTTATAATCTATGACAAAAATGTATCATAAACTAGGTTAGTGGATAATTCGACAGCAAAAGTTATTCTAGAAAAATCAGTGCACAATAATTTTAGAAATCCAAACATTTTGTGAAAAAACTATATTTTGTGGGGAACAAATAAAAGTGTTGCACTAAATATGGTAAAATGTTACACATTGCTATTTGTATTATTATAAAATCCATTCATTAAAAACATTCATGAATGTATTTATATATAAGTATATACTATAAAATTAAAATGCATTTATTTTAAATGTATAGCATATTTTTTAATAAGGCAACAACATATGATAGATACGATAGGACAAAACAAATACAGTGC